CAGAAATGCACCCATTTCATTACTAAGATTCAAAGCAATCACAGCAATATTCACACTGCCCTGATTGACTGGTTGCTCCCAGCTGTCAATAGTGATCCAACTTGTGAATCCGCTTGCCCTTTGTCTCCATCTCTACTTGGATCAGGCCTGCAGTAAATTACTCATGCAATTGGAAGGATGGACCATCAATCAAAAGCTGACCATGCACAGCACATTATTGTAACAATCGAGCCTGACTGATAGAACTACATGTACATGTATTTCAGATATTTCATTTGTATCAGTTAGCTATTCCTTCCTAGTTTACTTCTCTCATTATTGTGATACATTTGCTTGTTATAATGTTACCAATCCACAGGTCAATAGAGAGGTCAGCACAGCATGAGGCACAGAGAACTGAACAAAAAGCAAAAGGAGAACTAGAGAGACAAAAACTACAAAATGAAAAGGTACAATAATATCAATATGAACATGTAATAAATAATGAGCATACACCATTTTGATTTATTCTGATTAGAATACTGCTGTCTGCATCACTTTGTTTGTGTTTATAGTATTTGTGTGCAATATGCTTTTAATTGGTACTTAATTGTGTTATGATTTCTTTCAGTATCACTGTGTGCATGTAGTTGACTAGTTGTGTCTATACCTTCTGCAATGGATAATGTTTTATGGCTGGTACTATCTTTGTTATTGATAGGAGGCAGAGGAAGCTAGGAAGGAGTTGTTAGAGTTACAAGCAGTAGCAGCTGCTGTTGAGAGCACTGGACAAGCTAAAGCAGAAGCACAAGTAATAAGATAATAAAATGTATAAATGACATGCAATGATGAGATTGTATGATATATCAAGTTATCAATCACTGTTTGGTGTTTGGTAGTATAATTTCTCTATTATTTCATTATTTATTGTAGGCTCAAGCTGAGAGACTTCTCATTGAAGGACAGAGTGCTATTGAATGTAAGCCAGAGTCAGTATTAAACCTGGTTTCCATGTAGCTGTACAACAGCCTGATATTAATTATAGTATTACATTGACCATCAGATCACACAATACAATGATAGACTGGAGTGGCTTCATTATACAGGCACATGCAAATTGTTTGACTGTAGCTGAACACAAGTTTACACAACAGCTTATAGCCTAGAGTCGTAGGTGTACTTTGCCTTACCACAGAACACAACAGCTGCCATACCGTATAGTGAGAAATTTTCATGGATCTGTCTAAAAATCAATTTCGTGGCTTTAATTTTTGTAGTTTTCTACTTTTCGGCCATCTTGAACCGTATTTAAATTGATTTTTGCGGATTTAATTTTTGCGGATTTAATTTTTGCGAATTTTGAAAAAATACAAAATCTATGAAAATTTTGGGCCACAAAAATTTCCCACTATACGGTAATCACACATTTCAATGACATTAGATTGCCATGTTTCCTTCCTTGTCCCTTGTA